GAAAAGATGAACGCCAAGTGGGATACGGTGAGTTTTTACTGTCTGGTGCTGTCAAAAGGATTTACATTTCAAAATGTTTCTTGAGGGAGGGGAGCGATTTCTACCCAGTTCACATTTTGTATTTTGAAATACCATTTTAATTTAATTACAATGGGCCTCTGCACTACAACCGCATACCCACCTTTTGGTATTGGCACCTCTCGCACTTGTTTTCTATTTAAAGTTATGTTATATATTTGCATACTTCTTCATAGGAAGGTATATTTCAATCAACTCCCAAAGGAAAGAGCTGAGAGTTCTTCTCAGACTTTGTGCTGGAAAACTCCAGTTTCTAGAAGATCTGGGCACAGCACAGTAAAGGTGCTTTATAAACAGCACAAACATTAAAACCCATTTGAAAGTGAATTTCGCATTTGAAAGTAACATTTGTGCTGCTTTTGTTCCCAAGGTATATCGCCTTATGTCTTCTGGGATGTGAAATCACTCAACCCTCCTCCAGAAATGCTTTAGTTATCCTGAACCTTCTCAGTCATTTTGTCCGCCATCTGTTCTATTTGGTGGTTTGTTGAAAGCAGCATCTGAGGTGCTTTTTTTCCTGGATATGGTGACTTTTTTTAAGGGGGTGATGTTACTCAGCCCCCTTACAACAGCGACAAATCACATGACTCCCTGAAAAGAGAAAGCGCTATAAGCCAGGAACGAAAACACCTCGGACGCAACTTTCAACAGCAGAAACCGGCACCGCTGGCGCACAACGGATGAAGCCGGTTCAGTTCTCATGCGCCGGGGACGGGGGGGATAAGTGCCATCATATCCCCAAAGAAATAAGGCGCTATATCTCAGGAATGAAAGCATCACCAATACTAATTTCAGTGGCATAAATGGAGCACAAACGAATGGGGTGGGTCTTATTGTTTGTGCCGTTTGTCATGGTGTCAGCATCACTGAGCTGCTTGATACTCATTGAGTTACTGCTGCCCTCTGCAGTTTGTATCCCATTATTATACACGTGGGGTTTAAGGTTTTTAACATGGTTCCAATTTGATTATCCTCTAATGTTATGGCAAATTAAGCAGGTAAATTGCACATAAGTTGTCAAATCCCATCGTTGTCCCTCTTAATTTGAAAAAAATCATTTAGAACTTTTAGACTTTTTTAGGACTGGAAGATGCCTCTTTTTAACAGATTTCTATTGTAAATTTAAATAGGGTGAAGTCTAAACTTAAGTTGACAATAGCAATTTGCTTTCTAGATGTCTTTCTTCATGGTATACTGCTATTTTCTTGTATTCTGGGGTTGTACCTTTGTTAATCTAGAATTTTTTTATCTTTTCCTGTTAAAGCCTGAAAAAGGTACCAACAAATCATACAACAAATATGATAAGCAGGAGCTCCAGAATGTAGCTGTTTTCGTGTCTTTAATCACTCCATGTTTTTTTAAATGTCTCCGACTATCCTGTCTTTTGTCATCCATGACCTGTTTCTTCACCAGTTCTTTTAAAACCTCTCACATTTTCTGCCCGTAGCAAGAGAATCCAATATACAAGAGTCCTATTAATAGGTTCCAGAACCCAAGCTATGGACGTAAAGCTACGGCTCACTAAGTCTCAGTTTGTATTTCTTTCCTTTCCACTTTGTTTTCTGCATGGACGTCCCGTTGCTGTTTTTGGTCTCGCCACCTTCTGTGTTTCGATGCACCTCTCATTCTTCTAACTCTCATTTGTTTTTTCCAAATACTAACAAAATGTTCCCAAGGCGGAAAATAGGCTATAGATCGAGGAATCAGGGATCTAAGGATTCATCGCAGTGTATTCCTTTGATAAGAATTCCCTCTTACACATAGCATAGGAGTGATCCTGACATCCAGTACATGGTGAGGAAGCACAGATGTCTAAGGCTCTGTAGCAGTGCTTCTTCCCTAAAGATTTACATGTACCCCTGATAAAATAGGAGCAAAAAACATCTTGCAGTAGAATGAGTAATAATTGGATAATGTCCCACTTAAAGAAAATTAGTTATACTGTGATCATAATAGTATAAGACACAGAGCAAAAAATCATATTTCTCATGAACTGAATTCCGGAGAACAAGAATGTTGCTAATTCACACTTTAAATAAATTTCCGCTGTAATGTTGTGCTCTTTTGAAACTGCAATAGACTCCTCAGGACTGTAGTGTCTTGCAAAAGTATTCAGGCTCTTGGAGCGCTTGTCAGGATAGAGGAAATCACCAACTTTAGTATGTAACAGCTTGACAAAAAATTGACATTTCTGTCCGATAAAGATGAAAATCAATAAAGCAATGGCCGATGCCGTAAAAACTATGTTCTTGATTGACCAACTCAGTCCAATTTAATGTTTAGTGACCTGCCATAGTTAGAATAATAATGGGAACCAAAGGGTTTGAAAAATTCTACATACTGTAGAGGAATGTTAAGAAATGTCCTCTCTGAAGTGCCAGATTCCCTTAATGCAGGAGGCATCTAGTCTGTCTAATCCCTGCCGGAGGAGGATTTATAAAATACTGTTGGGTCTTTGTGGTTCCGGTGCCTCTCGTCAAATTGCTTATTCAATTTTTCCAAAACATTTAGATATGAAAACTTGGTTTTATTTCAGGTCTTTCAGGAACCAATAGTCGGGAGAGTCATTTGCCCAAACCTAGCAGGTTAAGAGTGCTGTTTTAATAATAGAATTAAATGCTATAAAATGCAGCATCCTATGTATACAAAAAGGTGTCCCTTTTTATATTGAAAAGGAACATCCCCTTTTCATATGGTATGGTTCTCCTTACTATTTAAATTCCCACCAGGATACCTGTAGGGTACTATATGTAGATGGAGAGAGGTATCCCCACACTATTATATGCAAAGTAGTTGATTATAAATTGTTGGCGTTTTAGTTCTGAGATGTTTGCTTTTAGCCAATAAAAGTTTATTAGAAAGGTGTGCATGCCTTTTGCATTAATCTATCAAATTGCATGATTAAAAAGAGCTCTTAATGCTTTTAACAGGTTGGAAAGGGTGTACAGTGTTGATTAGTAAATGCTGATATGGACAGCAGTGTGAGATGGAGGCTTGTGTTTCAGTTTTGTTCCCTTGCTGTGGGCATGCGTTTGCTTACAATAGAATTAAGGTTTGAAAAAGATAAAAATAGGTTTGTAAAAAAAATCGTTTTATGGCCAGTATGTAAAGACCTTCAGGATTGTCTGTTTGTTAAAGGAAGGCTGTTTGGAAAAGTTTGAGAGGTGACTTCTACAGTAGGTAATTAAGGTTTATTCATCTGTGTGTGCAGTGAGTGTATATAATACCTTTTGTTTGCTAACTTTACTCTCATAAAATGAAGTAGAAGAGGGGCTCCTAAAAAGACCAGAATTGTACAGGGATCCACCATTGATAAGGTAGTGTTCCTTGAGGGGCAGCAGTGCTCCAAAAGGTGGAATGAGTAAAGATCTGTGTTTGAAGAATGAGAAGGGTTTGCAGCCTGTTCAGGTCTCTTTATAATGAAAAATAGCCCTGATTGTGCAACATATCTGCATAGGTAAGAGTTCTTTTCATTTATGCCATGCTGTTCACCCAAAAAGTTACCAGATCAGTTTGTATATAGGAGTTGACCCACTTAATCATGCACTGAGTGAAGTGTGCACCCAGGTGGAGCTGCACAGCACCCAGTGTGCACCAGCAGTAATCCTGCATAGCTGATTCGGTGACATGAGATATTGAGTTAATGGGCAGTGTGTCATTCAGTCAGGATGCAAAAGAACATGTAAAGGTTTATTCCATGCTGAAAAGAGAAGAAAAGAAACCGGAACTTTCGAGCCTTCTTCGGCCGAAACGGTGTTTCTTTTCTTCTCTTTTCAGCATGGAATAAACTTTTACTTGTTCCTTTGCAGCCTGCGCATGCTGACGCAGCTCCCTACTTGAACTAATTCAGTCAGGATGCCAGATTTAACTGCCCTAATTTTACACATCAAGGCCTTGAATCTCTGACTTTAGCCTAGGAAAACCAATGCCACTGTCTGGCTTTCCTTAGAAGTTTCCTATCACAGCTGCTGACAAAGTGGCAACACTGTGGTCAACAGGAAAAATCGTACCCCAATTGCTATGACTAATGCAACTTTCTGAATGTCTTTCACTGTGATCTTATAAAAGGGTTAATGTTCCTAATTTTTTGCCTTGCTTTTACGGGAGGTAACACTCATTTTCTCTTGGGGTCCGTTGTAATTAGAATGTGCATCCTTTTGGCCTACATAACTGTTTGTGATATTAGATACAAGATACATTCGTGACTCATTTGGAAATGAGAGTGCTGTGACACACTAAGACGGCACTGATCTTATCGACATCAAATCACAGAAAGGAAAGCTGGCGTTTCATTTAGAAAAAAGATTAGTTTTGGTTGCATTTTTGTTAGATAGTTTTAGTGAGAAATCATTAGACCAGTTCTGAAATGTTTTTGTCATGTCTGTTAAGTCCTATAAAGTGCTCTTTGAAATGCATTAATATAAACCACTTCTAATGGAGTTTTCAGAATTGTTATACGGTGCATTACAAGGGCAATTAGTCTTTATCTTGTGATGTATTGATGGTATTTTTTTAAATTAGATTTGAACTGATTTTTGAATACATTTAGCAATGTTAACAGGGGCATAATCGTAATTACAACAATGTTATCTCTATGAATTGAGTTTTCCTTAAGAAGGACAGAGCAGTTTGGTGTCGGCAAATCGATTGCAGATGTAACATACAATTTGCCTCAGTAAAAACTAGACATGCATGTAAAACTGCTGTTTTGCACAAAATAACTTTTAACAATTCTTGAACTTAATGGTGCATTATTATTATAAAATACCGTAATGCTGCAAGTGACCACATTCATTTTGACCATGTTTTTTTTTGGTGTTTTGTGTTTCAGGGTGAAAATCCCATCTATAAGAGTGCGGTAACAACTGTGGTCAATCCTAAATACGAGGGAAAATGATGGAGCCTCTGTTTTCTTTACAACACTGTATGCAAAGAATTTTGTTTTGTGTGGGGGGGGGGGGAGTTTTATTTTTTGTTTTTGTAGTCACCGAATGCTAACAAAGTTAGGCCACTATCTCCATGATTTTTACTAACAGTAGGGTTTTTTTTCTATGCATCATTTGGAAAAATGTACAGTATGTATAAACTTGGTTCAAGACTTAAGTTTTTTGTTTTAATTGTTATGTTTGCCACAGGACTGGCATGGATACAGAGATCTGATTGTGCCTTTCACAGGAGCAGTCTATAATGACGGAGATCGAGTCGTTGTTTTCTAACGCGCCGTGGTGGTGTTGACTAGGGCCTGCTTTTGCAGCAGGAAATGTAGCATGAACTGGCGTAGAGGGATCTTCCACATTGCAGCCTTGCGTATTTGTGCATGTTGTCGATTGGTTTTCAGCTACGCAACAGGATAAAATGTACAACGAAAGCAAGCAGGAAAGTTTTATTTTACAATCAAAGGAATTTTTGAAAGTGGCTATTTATGAACAGAATCTAAATTTCAGGAATTAACTATACTGTTCATGAGGCAGGTACTAGTTACACCACAATCCAGGCTCTGCTAGCACCAGTTTCCAGCAATGCCAAAAATAACTGCCTTATTTACGAGACAAAAGCCTTATTTTTAGTGTTCTAATATCAGTAACCATGAGTGCATTTCTAGAAATTCAAAGTATTTCAGCAATCTGAGCTTGCTTGTTTTTATTACTGTAATTCTTTTTACCTTTATTTTTAATAGAGGCTTGGATGTAGGCTATTCTTCCATGTGAGAGATCAGTATAAAAAGATCAGTGTTAAGGGAATGACCTCTGAAAAACATTAAAAGCCTCAAATGCCTCATGTACTACAATGTCACGTTCTTGTTTTAAAGTGCCTTTTATTTCAGCATTATGTTCACTTTTGCAATACTGTTTCTGAAATTATTTATTAAATAAAGTACCAAAAACGACCGTGGATACTGTTGATTTATTGATTTTGCTTTTATTTTTAACATGGTCAGAAATGTGCCCACAGGCCATGAAAGTTCCATAAAATATACTGCATCAAGTTGAAACTTGAACAAAAGACAGGTTTGTACATCTTAGATCTTCCAAAAACTCTTACTTAACTGTAAGAATTGTAAAGAAAAAGTATTGGAGATATGAAGTCTTTCTGTAATTGTTGTAACAATGTGTACGAGTTGAGTGAACTTTATATTTAACAGTTTTCGGTTGGTATTTGTCTGAACTACATTTATGCTATTATACAAAAATGTATGTTTTTAAGATTCCTTGATTTCTCAAAAGGGTGATCCCTATTGTTTGCGATTATAATCTGGTCACAGGGAAACACTTTGGTCCTAAATTAACAGCCAAAAATTCATGTAAGACAAAGGATTAAAATATTACAGAAACAAGCATTTCCTGGCCTTTGAGCTCAAAAGTAAGTTTAAAATTAAGGTGAACCTCATTTAGAAGTCAATGGAAAGATTCCAGACTGGAGGTGATCTGAACATCAAGAGTAAACTTGACCCTCACTTCTGAATCTTAATCATACTGCATAGAATATTCTAGGTGTTTTATGAAAACATTGGGTGTAATACCTCTTTTCTACAGAACATATGAACAAGTTTCACAGCATCTTGCTGTAATGAAGATGAAGAGGTAGTATTACACCAATAACCATGCTTAATCCGTTAGATGAGTGCAGTCGCTGTATAGAATTGAATCTCTGCACTGATATACAGTTCTGATGTACACTGTCTCAGCTTTGCTATACATTTAAATGCAAAATATGTTGGAGTTTGGTATTGGATATACAGCCAGCCATTACTGAAACTTAACCTGTGCCTTAAAGTAAGTCACTCAAATGTGGCCAGTCACATGTGACCAAAAAATGAAAAAATGTCATCAATAAAAAAATGTTATGTCCTTTTTTGTCTAAGAACACGCAGTGGTGTTTCTTTTGATGCTCAGTATGTCTTCACCTAGAAAAAGCATGCTGACCTTTTCTGTACTTGAGTTTGAGCAGGGGAAATGTCCTGAAGCATGCACATAAATGCATGCAGTTCGGCTAAAAAATGAAAGCAGGGTGGCATGTACTGTAAATCTAAACGGTCTCAGCTCTGTATAGGGGCTCTTGTCATGCTGGCGAGATGTACTACCTCAGGTGTCACCTCCTACATCTCCCTTTCTGCTCTTTCTTCTACATCCGCTTCTATAAATACTTTGCTTGGTCAAGGTGTTGCAATGCAAAAGTTTCTGCATTCCAGTTATATCCAATATAGCTTTTCACATTTTCAGCACTTTTAAATGCCTGTGATTAACTTCAAAGACAGGATTATAAGCAACAGGTCCTGCAAAAACCTTTTAAGATCACAAATTTGGATGAAAACTGTAGATTAAAAAACATGTCTGCGATTCAAACTGCACTGAGAGTGCCCCTAAAAGAGGGGCCCCCCCTGAGAGGAAAAACAGAGAACTCCACACCTTCTAGCACTAGTGACGATGTTTTGTTATGACCTCTGCGTCCCCTTATTGGCCACACTTCTCAGCTCTGCAGAAAGTTTCTCCGATACAGCTCTATACAGGCTGTTCCATTCTGCTGCCACGCTGATAGTGAATTGGCAGCATGTTTTTTCCTCAGAAAATCCCACCTAACAACCAGACAAAACAAAGCAACACATGACAAGCCTCATACTCATCATTTTCCTGGGCTGTTGTTTTTTTTCACAGGTTTCAATTTTCAAAGTGGCAGTTCAAAAATAGGAGAAACGCCAGACCTGTGTGACCACCCTTGCGCTGGAAACTGCAATCTGAAATTTGCTTTGGCTTTATTATTGATTTATTATTGTCAATACTGCACACTTTGCTTCTTCTTGAAGCCATGAGATATAGTTAAAGAAATAGAAATAGTCTAAAATGATCAAAACAATTATAGTACAAATAAGCAGCATATCTTGCAGATTTTTAACTTAAGGCCTCATTTAAAATAACTGCTTAATTATTTCTAAACTTATTGAGATGTTTAAAATAATTGCAGGAAAAGTAATTTGTAGGTAGTTTCTGAGCACATCACTAAAAATAGAGGTGCTGTGATGAGCTACTTGTTTCATTAGCTTTGTAATATTAAGTTACCTTTATTTAATGGTAGCATTTACACTACATTTTTTGTCTCAAATTAGCTTCTAGGAGTTTCTGGATTCCTCCAAAAACTGCCACCATTTCTGAAGCTGCACGTCTTTTGCTCTAAAGTGATTCTCTTTTCCCTCCCAAGAAGGTGGACTTTTTTGTCTGCACGATACAGAAAATGCTCACGACTTTTCATCTTGGCAAGACTGGACTGTAGGTTGGAACTTTGTGCCAATTATCGTATCCCCCCCGCCTCCCAACGGAAGTTGCCCGGGTAGCAACAGCGTTCTTGCCCTTGGAGGATATTTTGGCTGCCAGCCCGACCTTCCAGCACAATTTGTGCTACCCTGTTAGATAATCCAACTATTTAGTAGTAGTTCAGGTGGGTAGCGGCGTCAGCATGCGTAGTCTGCGAAGGAACAAGTAATAGGTTTATTCCCTGCTGAAAAGAGAAGAGAGAAAACGCAACATTTCGGCTGTGAAGCCTTCCACACACCTGAAGAAAACGTGTTTTCCAACTATTTAATATAACGGCTTTCCCTCCACTTCTGTGGGATGGAAATCAATGGGAGTCAGCAGAGGGCAGTGAAGATATTGGTCCAGGGCCTCTTATCTGTCATACTGTCTTTAACACAGTATCAAATGCAGCTGAAATGGCTCTGCACCCTTCTCCATTCCCTCAATATGCAAGATTCTGTCGTAGAAGGCAACATCTTCCCCCTTGAAACGTAGTGTAGAGTTCTCCTGGAGCAGACAACTCGGTCTCTTAGGATGGCGGAGTTTGCCTCTGTCCAGGGAGTAACACTACGCACAGTAAGAGCACGGCCGGCTATGAGGAACGAGCTGCTGCCCTCGGCTCACCGGCGCGCTGGAAGACCGGAGAAGGAAGCAGAGGCTTTCTGGAGCGGTTTTGAATCACCAGACGGCAGATCCTCTTGGTCACCAAAATCACCAGAGAAAGGAGTGACCGGCCTTTGGAACCGTGAGACGCTTGGATGACTTTCGGAGATCGTCGCCGAGAGAGAATTATATTTGAGGATTTTGTCAAGAGGCTGAGAGAACCCAGTTTTGAAAGACGAGGGACTTGAAAGAAGTCAGTTATCTGCCCGACAGAGGAGCTCAGGCTTGTGAATTTGGTTTGTCTTGTTTCTATGCACTGGTTTGTACCTTATGCCTACATATGTGTCTGTTTTCCTGGCCCTGTCTGTTCTCAAATGAGATGCTCTCATCTCATTTGCAATGAGATTCACAGGTCATCTCTTACCATGGTTACAGTGCAGCAGGCATGCTCATCTGCGGAGGATGTGCTTGGGTGTCCAGGTTGCTGCCAGTTTTGAATGTCCATCCTACCATTATCGGCAGTTCCCATGGTGATGACTTCTAGCTGTCATGGTGTCCTCCCTCTACCTGCATAAATCACAGTCACACCGGGGGTCGTCTACAATTTGGACAATGGCGGCCATCTTTAAACTGATTTAGGTTAGAATTGATTTCATTAGAAAGCACAGGTGGCACTATGCTGTAAAAGCCGTGCCTAAACAACGGTGTCATAGTGCTGTACCTGTTCTACTGCCCTGGAGGAACTAATTTGTTATTTTAAGAGGTCTTGTTATCATTATTTACTTTAAATGTGCTTATATAGTATTATTTCAGAAAATTCCGTCCTAAATGCAAAGAACCTGCTTTTAATTTTAAATGTGACATTAAATTTAAAAGACAGTACTTAAATGACCAGCGGCTCTCTTAATCAATGTATACTACTCAGTCATCCAATTTCTATGTCCTGGTCCCTGTAACTTATGTTTACATACATCCGCTGTCAATGCAAGCCACATAGTCAGTATATTGTATGGTTATTAATATCAAAGACCGGAAGGCGCCGAAGACATCAGATAATGTGTACACGGTCAGTGTAATGTACAGAATTTATCCACTAGGTGGTGCTATCCTGCTATTCATTCTTATTTAAGATGTAAGGAAGAGTAAAACTGATGAATTGCAATTAATAAAAAGTTAGTAATTGGTTTGCTAATACGATGTTTTGTATGACCAAACTTTATTGCTAGAATAGTGTTTTTATACATTTTTGGAAGAAAAATAAAGTCTTCTGATGATTGTTTAAGGAATACAGTCTCTGATACAGTTATGAGGATATGTCCTGATGTATCATAAAGATCTTTAAATTTCATAGCATCTAAAGATCTCCCTGAATAATAATTTGCATCTGCATAAAAACCTTTTAACATACAAATCGGAGGAATGTTGCATCTATGATAGTAAAAAAATCTCCCCACTGAAAAAAAATAAATAATTGCTTACATGTACAGTATATAGCACTTTTCTGGACACTCCACACAAAGGGCTTTACAGGTAATAATATAATAATAATTGCTTACACTTGTATAGTGCTTTTCTGGACACTCCACTCAAAGCACTTTACAGGTAATGGGGACTCCCCTCCACCACCACCAATGTGCAGCTCCACCTGGATGATGCGACAGCAGCCATAGTGCGCCAGAACACTCACCACACGCCAGCTATCAGAGAGCAGAGTAATGTAGCCAGTTCATAGAGGGGGATTATTAGGAGGCCATGATTGGTAAGGGCCAATTGGAAATTTGGCCAGGACACTGGGGTTACACCCCTACTCTTTTTGAGAAGCGCCCTGGGATTTTTAATGACCACGGAGAGTCAGGACCTCGGTTTTACGTCTCATCCAAAGGATGTATAGTGTCCCCCTCACTACACTGGGGCATTAGAACCCACATGGACCACAGGGTGAGCGCCCCCTGCTGGCCCCACTAACACCTCTTCCAGCAGCAACCTTAGTTTTTCCCAG